GTTTTTATTTCCAAAATGTTGCTGTTTTTCTCTAACAATTTGGTTACAGTGTTATCCTATAATAAGAAGAATCTTCGAAACCTCGACAGCATTTATTCCCAACAGTCATAGTATAAGGAAAAAAGATTGGCAGTGACTAGAGATTTGTAGATAGTGTCACTAATAATAAAACTTGTTCTCAGTTAGTCAGGCTCACAACTGGCATCCATCATGGCGCCCGACTCGCTTTTATTGGATGGAGGATAAACTCAAGGATTCTCGCAGGACCTACATGTAGCTTATAGTTAGTCAAGTTGTTCGGTTAAGTCTCTTGAGTGCATGAGATATTTTAGGGGCTTGATTAATGTGTGGAAATTAAACTAAATATCATTGTTTCATGTATTGTGTAGTGTATGCAGGTATTTAGAAGGTCGTTTTTAATTCTTGATTTTCGATTAAAAAATGTGTAAGTATCACAATTTTTAGAAATATGCACCAACATATACCTATATATTCATGTCTTTTTATCTGCTTATTAAAACTAGATTAGACGGCCCAATGTCGCATATCAGAGCAAAATTTTAGAGAAGAGAGAATTTGACGCATTTTTTAAACTTAAAAAATACGTTAAATTGATGCCAAAAAAGCGGTTCCGATCTTCAAATTTCTTTTATAGGCGACCTAGTTTCACTCAAAATTAATAGGTGTTCCGCACAATATAAATTTTACTAAGCGCCAAAATTGCAAGCGATGGTAAAGACACTAAGTACTGAATGTTTTATTTAAAACGAACGTAAATCAAAGTGTGGAGACCGTTACAGCTGAACAATTGAAATAAATCAGAATTAAACCCTTGTAAGGAATGAATACACCTGATCTCCAGAACGGATAGCAATACTTACGTACGTACCTACGTGTTATAGGGCTTATTCATATGACGTCATAATAGATATAGGAACGCCAGCACGGCGAAGTCCACAGAATGTAAGTATATTTTTTTCAATGTTGAACTTTATTTTAAGAACACAAAGACAGAATATGGTACTTATCTTCATTCGCTCGAAATCGGGCAACGTGTTCTATTCACACGTTCTCATAACAATTTGTGAATTGTTACCACATTCGCTGTTTAAGCGTACTTATTGTTGATTTCTGTGTCATTGCAATTGACTGTAAAGGCTAATATAACGTAATGGCCGATTTATAACAATGCTTCTCAGTTAGAGTTGTCCTCACATCATCGAATTATTTTGTTGGAAGCAGGTATTTGATAGTAAGTATACAGTATTACGTGTTAACACACCGATTCCTATCGTAGGTAGGTACTCGTGAGCTATTTCAGTTTTATTCATCTTATACAGAGGAAAAAAGAAAGCCTTTTGCCCAACTTCGGGCTAGCTAGAGCTAGCGATTTGGCCTAAAGAGTTTGCGGTTTTAATCTCTCTACACCCGGCTAAGTTGTTCCAAAATTCTTTTGTTTGGCGCTGCTTAATCTTAAAATAGACGTCCGACTACTTCAGCGGTTTTCCGCCGGTTGTTCGGTCGAAGGGTTATTTTCTCGAAGTCCCTTTGTACTTTTCCTGTAAGGACCTATTTTACTTGTAAAACTATACATAGTAGTGCATAGTTTGTTTAAAGGGAAATCATTCCTAGGTAATGTAATAATAAAGTATTTAAACATAACAAAATATGTATATTATGACCTACCTAGTTTGAATATAATAAGTACTATTTTTTAACAAGTAATGAGTATCTGCCAGTTTTAGGGCTTGGAGTTTTCGGTTTTGAAGATAAGCTTTTTACTTCAACCCAAATAAAAGGGCTTTACAGCAAACTTCTTAATTAAATGCCCACCTAGCGAGTCAGATATGTTTATACCAGGTGTTCCAAGAATAGCTGGTCAGTGAAGGACATCAATATACCTCAGAAATTGGGTTGCGGAGGTCAGAAAGCAGTCGCTCACTGGAAATCAATAAGCCACATCTGGACCTAGACTTTAATGCCGCCGGCGTTTGAGAAAGGGTCCAAAGACCGAGAAGGTTTTTTGCTTATTAAATTAGCTACAATTTTCGACGGATAAAATTAATATTACGGTTTTTGAATGGAGATCATTTCGATGCGGGATTTGTGCTGTTACAGACTCGTTAATATACTTGGTAGATATGCATTAGTCAGTGAAATGACTAATTTAGCAATTTTGATAAATTGGCTTAAGTAAATAATCGCGGTAGCTTTTAGGAATTCAATTTATGAAATAAGTAGGTATAGCATCGGATGTAATCTTGTCTTAACATTCAGTTAGTCACCATCGTCACTCATACGAAATTTATTAAAAATAACGACGAACTCTTAGGATAATGACTAAGCTGACTAAGTCCACTCATCTGAGTAAGTCGTCTCAATAAATTTAATAGATGTGTAACAATAAACTAATACTATAATAACAATAAATTTGATATACATATTCAATCGTGAATGCTTCCATGCCTAAAAATATTACACTAAAATGTCTTGTTGTAGGTACCTACCTATACCCAATGATTTAGTAAGTAGATGGACGCAATATTACAGCGATTAAGCAAATCCCAAAAAGGCCAAAAGTGAAAAGGATTGCCTAAGCACACACCCTACACAACGTTAACAGGGCATTATTTTATACACATTACATTTTGATATATATTTGTTTAAACTAATTCATAAATGTTTTATTGTGAATATATAAGTGCTGAAGATAACCAAACTCCAACATCTAAAATGGACGTTTTAAAAGTGGTACAGAGTAAATTTTTATTGATTATTTATTTTTATTTCTACTACGATCAAAAATCTACATATATCATTTATTTAAATTCATCAGTACTTAGACTATCAATTCCTTAAAACATCATAAATAGCCAAAGTTTACCCCTCGCGTTCGCAGTGTTGTTGTCATCTAAGACAGTTCCCACTCTCGCTAAACACATGAATATGCACAAACCCCAGTATGTTTGGTTTTCTCGCTTTGATATTTGCCACAAGAGACTGGTATGCACAGTCCTAATCCCCCCTGAGCTCGTGCGAGCACGGCGCCAAATTCGACACACAGGTTTTCCCGGGATTTTTACGTGACAACCCGGGACACCACGTGAAATTTAGAAGACAACCAAAGTATTCTTTTAATTGTGGTATCACAAATTGGAATTGAATAATGAAAGCAATATAATATTAGGTACATTTGTATATTAAAAATAAAAATATATTTATATGACACGTAAAAAATATCAATATTTTTCGAAAGTAGAGTAAAACAAATCAAGCTGTAATTCATGATCTATTTTCTTTTCCATAAATTTCTGTCTTCCTGAAGGTTCATGTGAGCATTTCAATAAAGTCAACCTTACAAATAAATAAAATTGTATGCTAAATAAAATTCTTGTCCATGTATCTGACACCGTGTTTTGAAATTGTAATTTACCTACACATGGAATGCAAACAACAAGTTAAATCGTTACGTAATTACTTAAGTAGATTCAATAGAGGACCGGGTATAAAAAAACTTCAAAAATTTAGTTTTAAAAATAAATTAATAGAGCTGTCACGAATATCGTTAAAACAATCCTGAACAATACGCGCAAAACTAATTCAAATTAAATAAAAACAATTTTATTAAAGTATTTAATAGCACAATAATAACTAAAACATCAGGAGAGCAGCTGCTGCGGATGGAGGGGGGATACTGGAGCCCAACGTGGGACCCAGATAGCAGCGTTCACCGCAGCATATATTTTGCTAAATGAGCTGGGTGTAGTCGGGTGAAAGGAAACTATTAATGTTACAACCTGTCGTACCTTTATTGAGCCTCGAACCTCATGGTTTCTGCTCTACAACGTTCCAAAAATATCGATTCACGACGAATCCAGCATGTCGGCCGCCCTCTAGGGCAGACGGCTCCTCTCGCTCTACGTACACATAGGACACAACACGTCAAGCGAGATATCAAAACGGTTTCCCGCCACTAGTATTTTAACACATTAAACAACCATTCTTGGGATTTTCGCCCACGATGCTCAAACATAACAATGTAAACACTGTTTTTAAGTTTTTTACTAATGTTTTACTCAGGATTTGATAGGAAAATGGACTAAAAGTTTCATTATGCCGTTAAATGTTGAGGCGGGCACCGTACCGACCTCCCACGCTCACTCGACCCGACTGACTGAATTTCCTACATTTCCCGGCGCAAGCCTTCACCCCTTGTAATCGAGCACGTTCGCAAAGATATAACGGCAAATGTCTAGATGTACCTATACTTAAAATGTTTTTTGTGTTTATTTGCGCTATTCGGAAATATTATTACCCAAATCTAATAGATAAGATACATGCCTAAGATCGCTCTAGAGCTTAATCTATTGCTACTTCAGATATAACATCATTATTATTTATAGGTATAATTATCATTAGAAAGAACTCTAATTTCATAAAAAAAACATAGATTAATAATTTTCGACGTTGTGGCTATCTATAGATATACTAAAGATACACCATAAGTTTAAATATTGAATAATTAAATACATAGCGCTCTATCACTTTTTCCAGAACTTCGATTTCACAAAAATCTCGTGAAGGTTTTCCGGATTAAATTTAGATCTACGTTTTCTGCCGATTACATTTTTGGTTCATCAGGGCGTGCCAGCTTGGTAACATTTATTTTGAGCTATTTTAAGAATTTTAATTTTCTAGAGTTTTTTATTTAACATTTGATTAATAAGTCGTATCTTATTATAACCGTGTTACATTTTGTTTAAAGTTTCTGAACGAAACCGACACTAGCGCCAAATTAATGTAGAAATCAACAAATCTTGAAAAATGTCATGAGTGACGTTCCCGTAACCATTTGGAAAAGATCATACGTTTAGCATATTTTTTAGTTGATCCTGCTTTTACACTAAGAAGAAGTATATTTGAATTTACTTGCTGTCATCGCCATGCTTAAAGTTATATTCATTTAATTGGTGACGACATCATCGAATCGCGTCTCTCAATGTTTCACTTAAGTTTCAACAAGCAAAACAAGTAAAACAATCACGTTTGTATTGTTTTTCTTGTGTTATTTCATAAAAGTTCTAAATTAAAACTATATTTATAATATGGCGCAAGCAGAAGATACTGAACTTCGTGATTTAGTAATAGAAGCTTTAGAGAGGAACGGTTCGCTAGCCAAAATACGTGCGTTGCTAAGGGCTAATATTTTTTTAGCTTTTGAAGATGAATATGAAAATTTGAAACAAAATGTGGCTTTGGATAATATACTTAAAGTTCCCGAAGGTCTTTTGGCTCTATCAGTGGTTCATGAGTTTTTGGAATTTTGTTGTCTGAAAAACACATTATTCGTTTACAAGCCAGAGTCCCGGCAGGGCACCGAATACAAATATGAAGGAAGGAAAAAGTTAGTCGAGAAGATGAACCTACCCAAATATGACACGAAAGAGCCCATTCTTCTCACACTTGTTAATAACATGGTTAAGTCCCAGAAGAAATATTTTGATTCAGATGCCAACTCTAATTACAACAACAATAGAGAGGAACAAAATTGCACTTATATTCTCCATGAAGATTCACAGAGTAGTACTACAAGTAATTCTCAATCAGATAATTCATCAGATGAAAAGAACAAACTGCACCTGCGGCTACAGCTTGATAACTCGGACACAGACACCTCCAGTGACTCTGCCAGGGACAAGACTAGTTCAGAATATGTGCCAGGGGACCATATACTGCGGACAGAAGACAATGGTTCTAATTATATAACACAGAAATCAAGTGATTGTGTAGATGCTAGAGATGACAAGTTAATAACTTTTTCTAGACCTAGAAATGAAACTTCTTTGTTAATGAGTGAATTAAAATTGGCTACTAACAGTAGCAGTGACTCTACCTCATATCTGGAATTAAAACCATTTAATTCTTTAGATGAAAAAATGATTAATACAGCTGGTTTGCCAGTTGTAGAAACAGAAAGCAGCCCAAACTTTTTATCTAATGTACAAAGTGACTTGGTAAATACAAAACCTGGTACATTAAGTAGTAGTGCCTCACCAATGACTAATAAACTAGAAAACAACAACAAAGTTTCAGAAGGCAGTGAGAAAAAATCACAAGATTCTGGCAAGTCAGATGCGGACACAGCTGAGTTTAGTTACGGGGATGATTTCTCATCATCACCAGTTTCCAAGCTTAAAGAAAATATTGAAAAGCAGACAAAGTCTTCTGCATCAACTCAAGATGAATTAGAAAAAAGTAATAAAAATGTCTCAATAGAAAGTCCACATCAAACTTCTCAGAGTTCGCAAAGTTCTGTCTCACTGTCTGATGTAGCAGATTTAATAAGTGAAAAAAGTTCCTTGAGCATTTCTCATAATAAATCTAAGGTTTCTGGTAATAATCATTCGAAGGGAATGTCCGATCAGAAGCAAAGTAAAGTACTAAGTGATGACTCCGGTGACTTTACAGAATCTCCTGTTCCTTCTTTATCAAATTTAAGTCTTGATATTCACAGTGATTGATGTTTACACTTATTTAATCATTAGTAATTCTCCATGTGTTTATAAATAATTTTACTTAATAATTTATAGCAATAATATTTATTATGCAATACAAAGTAAGTTCCTTGAATGACAGAGACTTTATTGTAGGATCTTTGTGAAAAATTCTTATTTATTGATAATACAAACCTCATTTGCATTTAACCTGATGTATTACTAGTATACTTACATATTTCTTGTTCATCAGTGATGATTTTCATTGTGATAAATAATTCAACTCCTCTTCTCTGTTTCTTTTCAGTTGTGTAAAAAACAATTAGGTTTGTGTTGTTAAAATTTGTTTTTTAAACCTCATCAAACTTTTGTTTGATTTTACAAAACTAGAAGTATAAACTATTTTGTCATGTTTCTATGGTATAAAGATTAAGTTAATATCATGCAACAATGTGTATTATGAAATAATGTAGGTATTTGTGTGCCTGTCCTCAGTGGAAATAGTCATAACTAGTTAGTTGAATAACTTTCCTGCCACTGGTATCCTAGTATATCACTGCCTGCTTGTTTATGCTTTCTGATATAGTTATTTAAGTCCTTGAAATGTCAGTGACAGATACTAGATTGTTGAAATGGTTGTGCCTTATTTATATATTGGATTCACCAAAACTAATGCAATTGTTCCTTTTAGTGCTCATGTAAAATGAATATTCTAGTCCTATATGAAATAAAACTGGTTCCGTCCAAATTGCTCCATCATATCTGTTTCTGGCTAAGGTTTCATGAAACTACTGTAACTAAGTACTTCAATAAAATGCCTCAAACTATTTTGTTGTTTCTTTTTAATTATCACTGTTCAAGCCAAAACCATACGGACCTTTCACCTACATTTTATAATTCACTAACAGATACTTTATTGGTGTTTCAGATTATGTTATGTTTGCATTGGTAAAAACTGGATCCTGAATTCTTGACATCTTGAGGCTATTATAAAAGGATTTAGTGTATGTTCTTCAAAATCAAGCTTTTGTCATGTGGAATTGTGGATGTAGTTACAACAAAATGAAAGCCGGTATGATTTTTATAATGATTTTTATTTCACATTTTTCTGTAAAGCATAGATTGTAGATATCACGTTTCACTTATGCACACGAGTCAATCCATACCGAACACTGTAACACAGTTGTTACGCATTTCTATACAAAAGTAACGCTGTTTATGACGATAGATAGCGGTTAGTGTAATCGCATACAAAATGAAAATATATTAAACATATTTACACTTAAATATTTTATATTAGGTACATGAAATTTTTAATATGAAAATGGTATAAAAATTACACTTTCATATGTTACATATTCAGTAATACAAATGCGGTTTATATCCTAACTTTGAAAAAATATAACAATAGTAAAAGCCACAATGCTTCATATAAACAGTATTAGATCTAACATTGTAATTACGTCGTAAAAAAATGGAAAAATCATCGCTCCAGGCACTGTTATTATTTCTTATTCACTTATGAGTGGAATTTATATCATCCCGTATGTAAAAGAAACAAAAACAGAATTTATTAAAGGTTTACATACTCATGCTATCGATATTTGCTAGTAAATACAAATATTGCCGAGTAAAACCTTTTAAAAATAATTTTAAAATACCGCTTTTAATTGTAGCGATAAAATATAGAAAAAAAAAACAACTAAAATTATTAATAGAATCGCAACTAAATTAACACTTAGAATAAGTAAATAATAAATATCAATAATGTACATATGGCAAATATTTGGCTTTATATTCATATTTATAATCCACATGTAAGGAACGTCAGTTTTGTTCATACACTGCATGGAATTACTGCTGGTATTACTTTTTATTTTCAACTACGAAAACGAGTGTTGAAAGCAATATCACAGAATACCAGCGGGTAGTATAAATTCTTAGAGTATTGTGACGTCACGATGCAGTCAAGGCGGTTCGTGGCTCGTTATAGCTCGTTGCCCATGGAACTGTCGTGAGTGAGATTCGAATCCATGCTCGCGTTGTCAGAGTCCTGACTTTGGTTGCCGCTGTAGTTCGCTGCTTCTTGTAGTCGCATTAACATGTTCAACTGTAACAAATTGACAAAGCAGAGTTAGATACGCTCATTCATTTGTTTATTTTTTAAGTTTCTTAGACATATACACTTCAGTATTACCTATATTGTAAACACGCTAATACTTAATTCTTTTAACGAGTATTTACCAAATATATTACCTCATTGAATGAGTGACTGTCAAGCAAAATCTGGTTCAATTCTTTTGTTCGGTTGATTTAGATTTTCCATGTAAGTACCTATTACTTTATATTTTTTTATGAATTACTTAGTAATTATAATGAAACTTCCAACTATTTGGTAGGTTCATAAAATGACTAATTATGTGCTCTAAAGCACAACTAGGTACTAGTTGTGCTTTATCTAATTGAAAGTTTTAAAAAAATCTGGCTCATGGACTTATAGCTACTAAATCAAAAAACATGTTTTTAAGGTAGGGTTGGGTTGAAATATATTAGAAATTGTAGACTTACCAAAGGATCCTGGTTGTTATTTGTGTTGGAGTCTTGATTTGATTCTTCAATACCAATATCCTCCACTGTGATCGCTCGTAGAGTCTAAAAAATAATTTCATTTATTAATGTTTTTCTTGACTTTAATCTTACTGAGAGTCATTCAATGGTAAAATTAATCCAGCTCTTAGCAATTTGATTCGGAACGAAATCGTTATTAAGGAATAGTTCAAAGAATCATTATATAACATTTCTGATACAGCATTTATTGAATTAGAGAGATAAGAGTACCCAGAGACAACGGTATAAATTGATAGGTGTCGGGTTAAGTAGTAACGAATATAAAATGGTCTAAATTTCTTCAAATCTAACTATTTCTTGTTTATTATAATTGTAACTGGCATAATCAAATGGACTAAACTTCTACAATGACCCCAAACGAAAGCAAATCAAATTGTGCCCTATGTGCTAGGTCTATGAGAGATTATTTTTTCTTCCTTTATATTAATTTTTGAATTATACTCACATGTGAATGGTTGGGTTCTCTCCAGGGGTACGAGGACTTGATATGCTGTAGCGGGTCGATGGCGGCGTGTCGTCGTCTGCCGTAGAGGGCAATACCCTCGCGAACTGCTTCCGACGCGTATGGAACGATGCTGTAGTTCCATACGTCTGCGAACCACGCCTGCAGGAATTCAAAGTAACATTATAAAATTGTATAACATGTATGTAGTAGGTAATTATTGGAAGCTTGTTTTGTCATCTCATTTTGTTACACGGCGAATGGCCAAATTTCATCCAGATCCGTCTAGTTGTTTTGGCGTATTTGAGTAACAAACATCCAAACATCGTAACTTTCGCATTTATAATATTACCTAGTAAGATTATTTTCATTATTTAATAAATTTTATTTTTATTCTTCCTTACTTGACTAGCCTCCAGATCCATGGGGCAGGCGAGGAAAAGCCTCGGGCCGACAGTGACGTCACTTGAGGAGTGCGCTTCAAGGAAGGCGTTCAGCGTGGACCATACTCCGGGCAGCCATTCCAAGACCGCAGCTAACGCTGGCTCACGACGACCCAGTCGCAGTTCCAGGGTGAATAACTTGCGACGGAGATACCTGAGAGTAGACGATAAAGATAAATGTTTGTTATTGATATTAGTATGAACTTTAAAATTTATTTTGTTAATGCTAGCAGTTGGATCTACTCATGTACCCCGGTGTTGTAAACGCACTTTTCACACATATATAACACCTTTTATGCGTAAGCTAATCGACCCCGCTTTACGTTGTACTTCAGCCGAGGGATTGGAACAGTTTGCCGGCTGCAGTCTTTCGGTCCAAATATGATTTAGATGTCTTCAAGGCTAGAGTGAATAGGCTCTTAATAAACTAGTACGCCTTACCATCAACGATTGCATCACGGCTTACCATCAGGTGCGATCGCAGTCAAGCATTAGTTTATAGCAAGTAAAAAAAAGCCGGGTGTTCGACCATCACCATCTACCAATCTTAAAACACTTTTGCAAGCTATACACTTCTTACAACTAGCAGACAGCAAGCGTCTTCAAAGCGGAACGGATGCTCAACGAATATGTTCCGTACGCATAACAAACTTGTTTGCCAGGGCGTCCCAAACAGCTAGTATGATAATGCAATTAAAGCCAAATATCTTAAAACCATGAGATTAAGTGTCTGTAATGTTATTCAACTTACCTAGCTAAAAATCCTTTCACGGGTTCCATGTGGTTGGCTGTCAGTAGCCACCTGAAGTTGTGATGGAGCTGTAGGTTCGTTGTGTTGCACGTTGCTTGGGACATGGTGCCTGAAACATAATATAATTATTCAGAAATCGATTTTTTTTTCTTCTACTAAATTAGGTAGCTGGTTCAAGTCTTCGACCCCAGCATCCAGGAAAGTTGGAGGCGATAATTTTTTTGACACTAAACAGCGCTAACCTGTCAAAAGGTGAGTTTGTTTAATTAACAAGCTGAAGAATAAAGCTGTTGTGTGCCGTGTTATAGGTACCTACCTACTAGCTAATTCACTATTGGACAAAAATACACGACGTTCCATGTAGGTTTGCTAACTACTATTAGCATTACATTCCTTCCTTTCAATAATTTCTTTTGTTTTGTCAATCATTATTCCAAGATCCTTTTTAAGGAAAAAATATGAGGAAAAGAAACTATTATTACAACAGTTTCTCACGGTCTTTATGATTCATTTGTATAGATGTAGACCAAATAGGGATTTCTTATATAACATTATGATCTGGCTTGTCGTTTTATAGTAATGGCAATAGATAATATAAAAATAATTTTCTTGTAACAAATTAAATATGTGATGGCAATCTATGACACGTCAAATACCGAAGGCATGAAGTTGTGGGGCAAAAAAGTGGTCGAAATGTATGGCCATTTGGTGGTTACGTTTCGACATGGGCTCATTTTTTGGATGATTTTGTGGTTGATCTCAAGGTTAAATGGGCCATTTATGCGTGTGTTTATTTGAAACGTTTTTGTCTAATGCGTATGATATGTAAGTGCCAAATTTTTTTTTCTTAAGGCGTTTAAGGCACTTGCTAGTGACGATGAAGGTATACTATTGCCCATCCAGATCTTGTTCCCGTTCGCTACTGGAAATATACCACACTTAAATGGCACGGAGTTTTTTAAGCTTATATACTTATTCGTTATACTTTTATCTGTAGCGGTGGAATTTTATTCCACCTAATATTATAAACACGAAAGATTGTAAGAATGCTGGTTATCCTTTACGTAAAAACTACTGAAAGGATTTTGATGAAAATTTGCACAAATATAGGTCTGGAATAACACGTAGGTTCCCTTTTTTATAAGGGGTCAACGGGGGCTAGTTTGTAAATAAAATATGCATTACCATTAAGAACGGCCTTATTTGATCTTTTCCGACTCAAATCATCATAATGAGCTACAAGAAGAAGTCCAAAAGCTGTGTATTTATTTCCTAAGGTCTACTAACTCACCGATAATGACAGGCATATTTCTGTTGTCAGGAGGCAGGAGACCAGCGAAGGCATCTCCCAAAGCCGAGGCATGTTGGAGGTTGTCCAGTATGACTACTGAAGGTAAAGCAGCTTCTTCCCCAGCCGCTGCAGCCCCGCACTGCTCCGCGATGTTAGCCAGGTAGGCGCGTAGCTCGTTGCAGGATTTGCGGTCAACGCTAGATATAGTTAACTTCAGAATGAACTTTCTGTTTTTCTTTTGTAGTTTTTTGTGTAATTTAATTTCGTTATTCTAATATATCTACACAAGTAAGACTTTGTAATTATTGATAGTGCTAACTAAACAGTTTTAGGTACTTAACACTGTAATCTATAACATTTAATTTAATTTCGGTCTATTGCAAGGAAAGGCTAATAATTAATCGAAAACAAACTATTTCAATAAATTTATACCCAACTGATATGAAACTTCAAAGCCAAGCATAGTGTTTACTTTCTAAGATGAATACTTAAAATGCCCAGGAAATTAAATTAATTAAACTCACTTAAAAGTAGCGACAGCTTCAGCAGGGTTGCCTCTACGTTGAGTCTTCTGTACGTAGAACTCTGCTAATTTTGCCGCTAGATACGATTTGCCCGTGCCACTCGGTCCGCATAAAATTATTCGCCGGTGTTCCGATAGCAATGAAACATATCTGCAAGAAATAAATGAGTTAGGAATATTTTCAACCTTATCACTTTAATATTAAAGTCAAGTTTGGAAAGTACACTTACCTATATACAATATTTTTTGGTATAAGACTATCGAACGCCAAGCTTCCAACTCCTTCTAAGCAGATGTACAGCGTATTGACAGTGCCAATAATATAACCACAGGGCAACAGCTCAGGGAAACCTATTTCGGGGCCTCGCGTCGCTTCGCCCAAGTGATACGATGTTATCGAATCAGTGTTCAAACCGAGATTCGTTCCCAAGTCTATTCTAGACAAGTAATCTTTAAAAGTCTTCCTAACTATATAATCTAAGTTCTGCCAAGTAGTCTTGCCAGATATATAAGTGTAAGCTATGGTGAATTCGTTACAGTTTATTGTCGAATCACTATTATAAACGTTCTTATACGAACTACTGTGCGTAGATTTATTGCTTTTAAGGCTATTTGTGTTAGACTTATTTATTTGTGAGTAGTCTTGCGTCTCAGTTTCGGGGCTGCGGTTTTGCGACAGTCGCGGTGAGTCAAAACTGGACTGCTTTTCAAAGTGGTTGTTATATGAGCTCGCTGATTGCTTGGCGTAGAATCTGCATTCAGATTCAGTGAGCGTGTCTTGAACTTCTTCAAAATATCTTTGGAATGTTTCCGGCTGTCCTAAGTAAACGGCTATAGCTATCTTTTTTCCATCAGTCGTATCGCCCTGGCTGTCTGCAACACCTGTTAAACAAACGCAATGAGCCGTTAAATTAATCCTTTTTCCCCGAAGTCAACAAAGGCGGTGTTTTAAAATTAGACTTACCGATATCGGAATAGCTTTCCCCTATCGCTAGCTCGCGTGTTTTCGGTGGCGGGAGCACGCTGTTAATGTCGTAGTCGCCGCTGAGCCGCTCTGTCGCGTTGAGTCCGTTCGCGAATAAATCGCTGCTGCCATTCAGCGCTACTAATAGGGTCTCGCTGTTTTCATTAAGCTCGCATGTGGCCTTATTGCCATATATGGGTTCGACCATGCCCGATTTAGGCGAGCCTTTTTTGGAGAAATCCATGGTAGGGGTCGATGACATACAGTTGAAGTCTAGGTCTAGAGGTTGCGAATGCATGTCTAGCGTCGCCTGAAAGTAGAACATGCACTGGATTACACAAAGACAAATTAAAGCAACAATGCATATGGAGCTTTTATTTAATGAAATTACTTTTTGTGAAGTTACTTTTTTGGTATGACAATTTGTTTGTAGCCCCATGAGCGCATGGAAATCACCAAATTGTCATTTTCTACTAATTTTAAACGCTACGCTGAATCTGTCTGGGACTCTCTATAAAATTGTTACGGTCACATATTTGTGTGTGCACTCGTGTGAAACTATAGAAAGTATTTTGTACATTGTTATTAAACCGGAATTAAAATGTAATTAATGTTTATTATTTGGAAGGGGGAAGTAGAATAAATTCCGGCAGGTGTTCTATCCCTCTTTTATTTGCGTATGAGCTGATACAAAGTCATGTTGCTTGTAAACAGAGCATAAAACGTTGCTTATTTCATGATATGTATTTGCCGTTTTTATTGACCTCAATAACATTGCCAAATGGCTGATATTAAAACCTAGTTCAAATCTGGAATTTATTGGGCGAAGACAAAGTCATACATTTACATTGAAATTGATCTCTTACCTGATGCATCGTAGCCTGGTCCGCGAGGCTGAACCTCCTTGGATCCTCGACAGCGGAGCCGCCAGTACCCAGCGAGCTTTGACTACCAGCTAATGACCTTGACGTCACAAGCCTCTGCAGTCGCTCATTGTTCTGTTTGAGGTTCAACATCTCGTTCTGGAAGTGTACCTTTATTTGAGAAGGACATTTCAACTTGTTCATATCAATAAATAGATTTCAGAAGCTATGCATCAATGTTAGATAATACGTATTATCAATTGTCAGCTGTACCATATCTTTCAATTAACTATGTTAATGACACGTCAAACATGCCTTCAGGTCATTTAACAGATTGAAACATAATATTAAAAAAAAAAACGCACCCATAAGCAATAATTGCGTATATTTTTTGTCCAACCTGTCTAAGAACTGTATTAATGTTTCAATACTTAATGTACGAAACAGTATAATTATATACAAGGGGCCGTTTATGACTATTTTGTTGAACACAAACTATAATCAGCACCAAATAGCGCGTTTAATCTGTATAATGGGCTACTAGCGATCCCCTAATGAATACTTAGTGTATAGTACCTATATAATAAGTAAGTGGATACCGACTATTCCCTGGGGTGGTTCCGCAATTAATGATATCAATCTAATGACTGTTAGAACTTTTAATAATAAAAAAGCGATGTAATTAAACCATAATGTTCTTACCCTCATTTTGATGACGGTGTCTTTAAGACTTTCTAGTTGATGCGCTGAACTTAAAGCCTCTAATCGAATATCTGTTAGCACCAAATCTTTTTCTCTTAATTGCCTCTTCAACTCATCAACTAGCCCAGAATCGTCTGGTTTATCTGGAAATAAACACCAACATCGTAAGCCACATCCAATGGTAAACTTAATTACGATGTAAACTTTATTGGAATCTTCTTCGCGTACATAGAGATGTTAAAGTCGGGGCTTGTTATAAAATCGAAGTGGTTTCATAGTAATAAACTAATTATAACTTTGATTACAACCCACGGCCATATAATTTAAGCTATTTCCGTAGGCTGTTGCTATTGATAAAAATACAAAACTCATCAAGATAATAGAGCCATGACAAATCAGTATTTTTTATTTTTTTATATACCTACGTTGATAACAAAGATTGTTTTACATTTTAGTACACAACAAAAAGGCATAGTGTAAAGTAAGTACATACAAATAAAGTATAGGTATATACACCTGAATGTACCTATGTAGGATACTATGCCGGTCACCATATACAAACAAACGATGTAAATTTTCAATTAGATACCTACAAGCAACTTTCCTATGTGTCTCAGGTAACGTTAACTTTTAGCCCCTAACTTTCTCTCAACCTGATTCAACGCAGGCCATCTATTGTTTGCACACAAATTTCCTTTATAGTCTCACCTTTGGTCTGGTCTTCCGTCTTGGCCTGCGGGCACGGCTTGTCCTTAACGTCGAGTGTCTCATGGGAATGTTCGAGGCTGTTCTCGTTGCTTCCCTCTCGGATCGTGTGCGGGTCGTCATAGTGATGGGATCCCGAGGAGCTGTCTTGTGACGACAACTGCCCGAGGGACGAGTGCTTCGCCGTCTTTGATATCTTGGCGTTTCGCGAGAAAGCTTTCGTGAACGATGAGCGGAGCTGTTGTGTAATTGGTTTGGTTAGGTATAGTAGACAGGCTCATTAAAATAGTTTACGATTTCTAATACAAAATAGCTGAATTTCTAAATCAGATATCGCATATTTTATGGTTGGAAATGTGTCTAACAACGTGAGGAGAATAATAGTTGCACATTTGTACAATAAGTAAGTTATTGTAAATAAACTTACTCTTCCTATACACCATGCAGTACAATTATGATATTTCATGAACATATTAAGTAACAAAAGTGTGCTACAGAATTAGATACGCAAGGTGTTGCGTGTAATTTTACGAAACATTATTTTCTATGAAACACTTGTATGTTCTAATTAAAATGTCTACAACATACTCTTATTACTTGGACAAATCAAGACATGTTTTATGTAGGGTACTAGTACATTTATTATGAATACACAAGTTTATTCAGTTTGTCATAGACAATGGCTATCCAATTAAAAGAGTTTAAACAAAATAGCCACGAAGCTATGAAAATGAATATCATGATAGAAATATAATTCAATGTTTTTATAAAAGTTTAAAAAAATATGTGATTATAATCACTTAATATAACGCTTTTTATTCATAATTTTAAGTTTGATTAAGACCTCATTTTTATATGGTTAGATAAAAGTTATCTCGGGAATAATTAATTATGATGCTGTCGCGTCAAAAAGTTTGTATAAGACAGTGACAGAAACAATTTTATTGCTCAGATAACATTTATCTGACTAATGAAAAATCAGCCTCAAATACCTAGTTATACAGCAGACACGATTAAAATAATTATTGTTGAAGTGGACATAGGTAGGTCTAGTTTGAAAATGAGACTCACCCAGCCTTTCTTCTTGTGTTTCTTGTCATGCGGTGCAGAGGAGCCACTACTGAGACTGTTGATACTTGAGACACTATCGGTGGACAGATGTCGCGTGATTGCTCCATTGCCCGTCTGCGCTGTACGCTGGGGAGACGACTGCGTTTGATTGCCTGGCTCCTGTTAATAAATTGTATATTTTTTTAATTACGGAAATTATTCGTATAATGTAATGTTTCATACCCAGGTCCGAGTCCGGGTGAGGAAGGTTCTGACCTTCTTGTTTTCATAGTAAATTTAAGTCTCACAAAGTATACGATATATGTATAGGTATTTAAGTAGTAAAGATATATCTATTCCAGTGGAGAATATATCTTTTTGTTATAATGACGCATTGTACTGCGACTAAATATGTACGGCAACCGAAGTATATTCTTATGAAGTCGACTTACTACGGAACGCATACGTAATTTGAGGTCATCTACACTGCTCGTATGAACTTACACGACTTTATCCACTTACATGCTAAGTAAAATTTAAGTTACTTTATAATTTGTTACATTATACCGTTAAAAACTTTAATCCGTGGCCCTGAACTTTAGAGATTTCGACAAAAATAGCATTGACTTCGCACGAAACCTTTAGGCTCTACTGTAGCACGAAACCTGTTTAAATGTTAATATTTATTTATAAATAATGTACGTACTTACATTAATGTTTATATACATATGGATATTTCAAAACTATTAAAAACTGATAGTGCAATGTTTGTAACAAACACTTAAGATAAACGTATTGGAAGCCAAATATTGGCAGCAACCTTTTACATTCAGAACCTCCATGCTATATTTATCACTCTCTCTAATTATCATTAACAGGTTTCACAACCACATCATACAACGTACTTGTATCAATTTGAATAGTTCACGATGTACAGTCACGATAGAAATACATTTGTCAATTTTCGAATTCTTTTCTAATGGACAGTTCCTATTATGACACACCTTTTGTAACTATGGCTTACATGCAGCTCTACTGGTCATATTTTGAACATTGTATAGGTAACTACAAAAAGACATTTTCTTTTTCCTATTAAAAGTGCCAGACTAGCAAATTTTAAACAACTTTTTAAATTGTATCCTATGAAACGAACTGTGTGCTCACCGTATACATCACAATTAATTAAACAAAAATAGCCCTTACAGTGACTCACGTATTATCAGAACGACTGTACTTCAAGTAAGTACAATATTAAGGAGGTAGTAAGTCATGTCACTTGTCTATTCTCGGCGCGTCTCAAATGTAGAACAGGGACGGATCTATTGACGGTCAATTTAATGCAAATGCTATCGTTGCCTTATTTGTTTCTGCTTATTGGACCTCGAACGTCCCGGTTCTGATAATGGTACAAGTATTTCTACGCAAACTTAACATCCCGTACCTATGTGATATGCTAATGATGTTAGTCTTATTGCAACTCATGACTAGCATAATGTACATTGATTGATAGATGACATTGGACACCGTACCATGTTACAACATTAGAATACGAATGTAAATGAAGACGTTGCAACATTGAACGCAATTAAATATTCAAACAATCGTTTATTTTTGTGGCTATGACATGATAAATGTTCGTTAATCACGGTACTCCAATATGTGACAAAAATGATTGATTTTATAATAAATATCTGTTTGGCACTGTGAGTTTCGTTTGCCTATTTATTGTTACGCACCAGTTAAGCTAGTGCTTACATAATGTTAGTACTAGGATCATATTTACCGGTCCGGTGACATTCACGCCGTCCGTCCGAATACCCATGGATTGCATATGAGCCGTCGTCAGCCCAGCTTGTATTGATTGTTTCCTCAGCAATTCGATAGTTTGACGTAACTCCGTTAACTCCGAATCCTAAAGCAAACAAAAAGACAAAAATCACACCCGAAGTACTTAAAACAACAATAAAACATATAATTAAAAGAAAGTAATTTGTTTCCGTTCGAACCGGTTAGTCTGCCGTCGGAACAGCTATACTTAGTAGCTTTAAGCGTTCCCATACATTGATGCTAAGAACTTTAATTCGTTGTATCGTTAACTAGGAAATCTTGTGTAGATATTCAAATTATCTAACAGCGGTAGTAAAGTTTTAATGAGCTATAAAATGAAATTAAAGGATGTGTGATTTAATGACGGAAATTTTGTTTATTACCTTTCTCTCTGCGGTTGCCGTGAGCTGCTGCAGCCGTTGCGTCATGTTGGATAGACTCTGTTCGAAGGCAGACACCACGTGAGCCTGCAACAATATACACATAATGTTTAGTTTGATGTATCTTGACAATATTGCTACTTTTTATAACTACCACAGACCTTTCACCAAAGATATCATAAAACTGCATTGTAATTTTATTAAACCAAATATTTACGGTATTCGTTAAAATTTTAACGATTTTTATTTTAAATTACATAGATGAGTTCATTAAACTCTGAGCTAATTATCGGTTGCCCTAAAGCTTCCTCCAGGCAATACAACCGCAAAACTGTAATTTCTATTCAGTTTAGTTTGTAATCAGAAGCGACCACAACCCGACTGCCGACATAGATCTCTCCTAACTTCGGTTAGTTGCGTGGTGAGATTATTATGTATCCAGCTCGACATCCTTAGCTCGATAATGACACCAATTGCTCTCCAGTCACAAGAAACCGGTTAAATGCACCACCTTGACGACAAAATAATTACTTACATCACATTTTACCTTAGTTACGTCGTTGTAAATATTGGATATAAACATTTTATGAACTGTAAAAGTGACTCATCGAAATAAATAGCTTTATAGACGGTAACTGTATTAGCGGACCGTTGTCGTGGGTGTAGCTGGTCACGGGACCCTTTGTTTGCTGCGTTGCGGGAACGCACTCAGCGAAATTAAAACAGGGGTAACGTGCCCGGTCCCTAAAGAAAATATGTATGTAAACACACCTACGATGGCTATCGTACGTGCGCATTCTTTTGTTCAGAAATTAAATGCGAAGGCGACTTCCTTTTGTTCATTCCATCGTTTAACTTGAATAAAAATAAATTCAATTTAAATGCATCTTTTAATAGGACCATACACCTGCCACGGAGAACGCTGCTTAGCCAATTACAGCGCTGGAGCGTTATTGATAGATCTCTCCACGAGACACCTTGAACACGTGCCGAAGTTAACGAGTTAACATTACTGTCTGCAATTACGGTTCGTGAAACTTCGATGATCACGGCCTTTGCTGATAATATAATTTCTAATATCTATTTACTATTAGAAAAGTTCCATCGGTGCTCAAAATCAGTGGAACCACACGCTAGTAAGACTTTCATCAAGATTTTACGTGTTCATGATGAAGTAAAATTGTACATTTCCTTTTGAAGATATTCCGATTTATGAACAGAAGATAGACATTACAATGATAACAGCATTTCAATGCTCGCACAAAATTTAACTAGATTATCTATTAGAACTGATCAGCTCGTTGTTATCTATAAATGTATTTGATATGTTTTGGTATCGGAAACTATAGTGTCTTTATCGCAACTAGATATTACGTTTAGTAGTGTTGACAACGTTAGTTCAAGTAAAGCAATAAGTTCCTGAATCGTTGAACCATAAAAGTCTACAAGACAGGTGGAAACTAATTATTAATCAACAGCTGCGGAAACAGCCGCGCTTTAAGAACTTAATGACACGATCAAATAGTTGCTAGTCCTCTGTAAGGAAAGAAATATGTCGAGTGTGCCCGGGAGAGTTTTTACTGTGAAATATTTAATGCGTCTGTCTTGGTGTTTTCGCAAATGGACATTGAAATTATCTTCTTATAGACGCAGGTGAATATTACAGGAGGTTTATTCCGCTTGAAATTCTAATCAACTGACGGGCAGATGGTCTGAGTGTAATTAGAAAAAAAAAGTATGTTGACTTAGAACGAGTGCCTAGTTTTATTTTAATAACTTGTTTGTCTTAACCTTCCTTATAGGTTAGTCCTGATGTCTTAGTATCTTTGTCCATAAAAATATATATTATTAACTCGAAGAAATGAATTAATGAACCAAAATTATTTTTGTTTTGCATTCTGTAACTGTCAAACACGATGTTAAACTCGTTTGTTTGTAAAAAATAAAATAAAGACCAAACTCGCGCTCATATCAAGAAGCTGTATCGATATAAAAACTGAAGATACTAAAATTTACGATTAATAAATAACACAAAACATCATTCGTAAGTTTTCGATACCCAATAACAATACAAGCAAAGAAATTTTATTAACAATAAAAACGTACCAGAATACAATTCTTACGACAGTATTAAGACATATGCATACGATTAAGATAATCCTAGTAAATGACAACATAATTCCAGAATATATGTAAGCGGACACAATGCGTTCGATAACAAAATACAGATCGAGTAGGTGTTAGCCACACGTCCCTCGGTTGATATTTAAGACCCACACTGCATCCCACTGCTGTGTTTTACGAGAGATTGGTACAAGACAGGAGATATTATTTGTTCAAGTGCACTCTTCCTTATTCGGTTTGGACATATCTGGGCTGCATGTCGGCGGTCAATTTATGTGAACGGTATTCGGTACCGCCGCACCGTCAAAAATTAAAAAGGCTTCATTGGAAGTAGGTACTGTTGGTTCAGTTGTTACTTTTATAATGCTGAAGATAAATGCACTACAAAAGAAAAATACACAAAAATGCTTCATCCCCGGTTGCAGGTACCACAATAAATAACTTTTTACTATTGCCTATATTTCTATTAGAGCATCAGTTCACTTTGACATTTAATTTAAAATGGGACAATGCAGTTGCCTTGAATTGAAGATAGCGTAAGTTTTTGAACAATAAGCCCATAAAACAAGTCCTGAGAGAAATGGTATAAGCGGATGCAGTTGCGTTAGGAAAGTGTGTCGTCGCAGTGGCCACCACCTTCGCGGACATCTGAAGTTGCGACGCGCAGGCGTTTGGACCGATAGTTATCTCACGCTCGATCCCAATGCACTTATACGTGGCTCTGTACCTACAAACTACTGTAACTAATGCTCGTTAATATTAATAGGAGTGTTTTTTGTTACCGTACACACCGCCAGTTTCTATTGTACAGATAGATATTTACCAACCTACTAATAATTGTTATTATAGGTCTAAAAATCACTGAGTATATGTTTATTCAATTCGCCATAAATACTTCGTTCTAAAATATGAATTTGACATATTTATTAAATTTTATATCCCACATCTGAAATACTGAAAAAATCTGACCTTGCCATGGTACCATTATTTTGGGATCGTGAGAAAGGATATTATTACGGACCCAATGAATGGGATTTGGTGAACGATTAAGTCAACACCTGACCGTCAGTCAGTGTAAGAATGGACCTTTTTGATAAATCCTCGGTAGTCAGGTAAGGTTTTTTTGGACGATTACACTTTATAATGGCAGTACCTATAGCAAAAGGTTCCCAGCGATGCTGGGCAAAGCTTTTTTTCTTGAAAACACCTGTTAACCTTTAAGGAAGTTAGAATTTCGTATTGGAAAGCGATTCTAATCGAAGCATGATAATCTTGCTTTCATTTACGCTTGTAAAAAAATGCCTATGTCATGATTATTTAGCTCAACATATCGTAATTAATTATGTATTATAGTGTAGACAAGAAGAAACGAAAACCGAAAATGGTGTAATTTTTTAAAAACTTTAAATTGAAATACGACATGACACTCCCTGAGTAATCTATTTAAGGGGACGCTACACCCCACCCAGGAGATGTCAGGTGAACACGCTACGTCACTCATTAGTATTCTCCCCTAGCTGATGTTTCGATTTGATACGGTTTTACACTTCTATTGCAAGCTATACCATTTCATTAAAATCCTGGCAATAAAAACCACACCTCGGTTTTCTTTTTTCCCATTGAGATAATTTTAAATCCGACGACTGTATAACATTGTTTGTACCATCGCACTTTTAAAAGACTAAAATGTCTATACAAATAAAATGTCTATAAAAATACAAATGAATATGGATAGAGAAAATAAAAAAACTCACCTCTTCTAAAATTGGACAGCTTTTATAGCGGGACTTTTTGATGGCCAATTCCCACCACGGCACTGGCGGCTTAGATCGCAGTATGGTTTGGCATCCGACCTTTGGATCCTGCGATTCGTACAAAGTTCCTAATGTTCTCGATAAGGGACGCGATGATGTTTGTGACGAATTTTCCTCAGCTGGAATTCCAGTGATACACTCGCAGCATTTGTGGGGCCTTCTTTGAGGTCTTAAATCGGCACTAAAGGAATGCCTATAATTAAGTCGTTTTGAAAACCCATTTGTTTCGCTAATTGACCTTTTAAAACCGTTTCTATTATTTTGCAGGGGCATCCTAGGTATCTGTTGGACTTCACTGAGAATAGTAGGATCATCATTAAAGCTTGCATGTTCATCTGTCATTGGTGTACTTGGTTCTGAGTGATACCCTATTTTGTTTCGTTGTAAACTTCCATACATAGGGTTTTCTTTCATATTAGATGATTGAAGATCAATAAATTTAGGTCTCCTTAGGTTTAATGTCGCATATTTTTGTGGAGATCTGTGAAATTTTGATTTATTTGGCAAATCCTTTAAAACATCTTCAGTGTCTGTTGACGGTATCGTGGAATTATCGCTGTAACTTGAAATAGGCCTGTCGTTGTCCGTGAAGTATGACGACGATTCCGAACAATTATCTCGATCGCTGTGGCTCCTTCTACAGTCGATAGAGGAACCAGTAAAGTCCGTGCGTACGGAATGCAGCTCGCCGCCATCCTGGTTGGCTACGTGCTGTTCATACGACTGGCGCTCGCCGTTACTCAAGTTTGAGATTCCAATTTTTTCGCTACCGCTAGCGTCCTGCTCTGTTGATAAGTCCAAGCTTTTTAAACGTCTACGTGGCTTTGTGTCTATAGAATCATAATGACTTTCTTGTTTGCCGTTTAAACATTTCACTGGAGAATTGCTTTTCGAATGCGGTGGGGTCACTTTGGCATAAATGGGTTCTGTGAAACTGAGCCGCGATGGTTTATCAACAAACCTATTGCTGGTTGATTCATTGTTTACATATTGGACTCCACAGCTGCTATCTAAGAAATTATTTTTAGGTGTCCTGTTTAACGTGAAATACTCGGAGTGTCTTTGAGGTAGATTAATGCTTTGATTTGGTTCAACTAAATTTCTTATCTTTATTCGGCTTCTAGGTGCTCGTATGGTGGCAAATCCATC